AAAGAAGGTGGAAAGAATGCAGTGTCCTGTACCAAAAAGAGGTAGTCTACATGTAACCATTTTAAGAGGTAGCATGTGAGCAAGAATTCCGAGCTGCACTGCATGCAGAAACAACGCTCCAGGAGTTGATGGCCCACCCCTTGAAACGTTTCCCCAAAGCCGATGAAGCGCTCGAAGCACTCGCTTGTCGAGGCCAAGAAATTTGGAAGACAGCTACTTAACTGACTGAAAGTGACCCCAATTTGTATTCATTCCAAAGAAAGGTGACCCCACAGAGTGCTCATATAGTAGAACAGTATTAATGAAATGACATGCAAGTACAATTTTACTAGAGAGTATCCAACAGTAGTTGTAGCAGTACATTGGACGGGAGCTGCCAAAGTTCGAGCCGGATTCAGAAGAGGATGGAGAGCAAAGGATATCTTAGCTGATGCCAGGTGGATCTTGGCTGAAAACAAGAAAACCAGGAAATGTTTACTTGTGTTTCATTGACTGTGCCAAGGCATTTGACTGCATGGACATGAGACTATGGATAGCTTTGAAAAGAACTGAAATTCCAGAACACCCCATTGTGCTCATGTGGAACCTGCCCAGTTGTGCAAAGGAACATGGGAATGACTGCATGCTTTCAGATCAGGAGACTTCCTGATTTATTTAATCTGTATGCAGAGCAAATAATTAGAGAATTTGGATTATATGAAGAAGGATGTGGCAGCAGAATTGGAAGAAAACGTACCAACTTGAAGCACTTGCTGATGAAGATCAAGTGTGGATTACATCTCAATGTAAAGCAAACCCACATATTCACAACTAGACCAATAGGTAACATCATGATAAAATGAGAAAAGATTGAAGTTGTCAAGGATTTTATCTTGCTTGGACCCACAATCATTGCTCATGAAACAGCAATCGAGAGATCAAATATGTGGGGTAAATTTGCTGCACAAGACCTCTCTTTAAAGTGTTTAAGGTAAGGTGACCAGATTTTAGCATTGGTAAAGCGGGACACCATTGATAAAACTCTTATCCTGGCAAAATAGCCACATGGCAGCCGAAAACTGTAAACCCTAGCTTGTCATGCATTCTTTCCAAAAATCAGGACTTTTTAAAAACGCCGTGGGATGCGGGGAAAATTGTTAAAAATCAGGACTGTCCCACCAAAAGCAGGACGTCTGGTCACCTTAGTTTAAGGGCAAGGATACTTCTTTGAGGATTAGAGTGAACTGACCCAAGCCATGGTATTTTCCATCACTGCATATGCATATGAAAGTTGGACATTGAATAAGGAAGACTAAAGAAAAATAAAGCATTCGAACTATGGGGTTGGTGGGGAATATTGTAAGTACCATGGACTGCCAAAAGAATCCACAAATCTAGAGTCGAGCCACAATGCTCCTTAGAAGCTTGGGTGGTGACCCTTAGTTTCGTGTACTTTGCCATGTTATCAAGAGAGACCAGTCCCTGGAAAAGGATGTCATGCTTGGTATAGTGGAGGGCAGCAAAAATAAGGAAGCCCCTCAACAAGATGGATTGACACAGTGCCTGCACAATGGGCCCAAGCATAAGAACAATTGTGATGATTTTGCGGGATCGGGCAGTTCTTAGTGACACAGACTTGTGATCAGTCAGAACTAACTCCAGAGCCCCTACCCACAGCACACTAAAATCTGGATTAAGAACTGCAGTGCAAAAGATTTTAATTGCATTTCGTAATTTTTTTTCCTGAAAAGATGATGCTACACCAAATAACTGTAGGGACCTAGGGTAGAGTTGACTCGGTAAGCACCAATGAGAACTTACTTCCGAAGGTTGCCATGATCAGGGTGGGGGCTGGGAATGAAAGTCTTGTCCCTCATAAATGATCATCTAGGGAGAGGGAGAAGATTATGCGATCCTTATTGTGCTTAAGGAACTAACAGAATTTAGTTGTTCCTCAACTCGGAATCATCCAACGTGATCTTTCTTTTTATCTTATTCTTTCCATTCCTTTTAGCTAATTTGCAGATGTTTTGAAAGTGGAAAATTCCGTAAAGTTATGCAGCTATTTACCCAGCATCTAATTTGACATTTTCATCACCCCAGAGAGAAATTCACTAATAATGACTCTTAATTCCCCCAAACTCTGCAGTCCCTGGCAGCTAGTAATCCCCACCCCCCTCTCTCCAGATTTGCCTATTCTGGGCATTTCATACAAAGAGAATCATGTTGGATTTGTCCTTTTATGTCTGGATTCTTGCACTCAGAGAAACGCCAAAGTTCACCACGTGGCATGTGTCAGGGCTTTGCTCTTCTGTGGAGCCAAGCAAAATTCCATTGCTTGTGTGAATAATACCGCATTTTGTTTATTCGCTCAATTTATGGACATTTGGATTGATTCTCTTTCTGGCTATTATGAATAATGTTGCTAAGACTACCCATGTACAACTTTTTGCATAGATGTGTGTTTTTAATTCTCTGGGACATTTTTTTTGAGTTCCAATTATTATATAAGGGAGCTTTAAATCATTTGTGGAAACTTCCTAATTTTTTATTTTCATTTTTTCATTAACTTTTTGAAGCCCCTTATATATTAGAAGCTGTAATTGCTGGATCATATTCTAACCTTCATGTTTCTATTTTGAATACAAAAGCAATTGAAATTCTTTAGATTTAATTTTTTTCCTGATGAAACAAAATATCTGCAAACTATAAACATTAAATCATGATACAAATATATAGTATAGAAAATGAAAACTTGAGGTCCAATCAAGGAGGCGGAGTCAGAAGAAGCAAAAAAGAAAATGAAAATTTTCCATTGCCTGAATAACCAGTGTTAACAGTTTTGTATATGTATCTTCAGATTTTCCCCATTTTATTAATAGCTGAGGGGACTTCCAAAAGCTTGTGAAAAGATCATAGAATTTTTCCATAAACTTTGGTATATTTTTTAATACAATGTTGCCATCCTACTTATACTTTTTGACAAATTGCTACAAAAGCCATTAAATTTGCTAGAGTAAGTCCCACCTATCTTTTGTTTGTTTGGTTTTTTAAAAATTTATTAATCACTTTATTGGGGGCTCATACAACCCTTACCACAATCCATATATACATCAACTGTGTAAAGCACATTTGTACATTAGTTGTCCTCATCATTCTCAAAACATTTGCTCTCCACTTAAGCCTCTGGCATCAACTCCTCGTTTCTGTCCCCTCACACTCCACTCCCCCTGATTATCAACTTTTTATTTATTTATCTATCTAGCTATCTATTTATTTACTTACTCATTTTATTAGGGGCTCATGCAACTCTTTTCACATACATACATACGTTCATACATCAATTGTGTCCAGCACATTCGTACATATGTTGCCATCATCATTCTCAAAACACCTGCTTTCTACCTGAGTCCTTGGTATCAGCTCCTCATTTTACCCCTCCCTCCCCGCTCCCTTCCCCCCTGAACCCTTGATAATTTATGTTATTATTATTTTATCATATGTTATACCATCTGACGTCTCCCTCACCCACTTCTTTGCTGTCCGTCCCCCAGGGAGGAGGGTATATGTAGACCTTGTCATCAGTCCCCCCTTTCTCCCTCACCTTTCCTCCACCCTCCTGATATCACCACTCTCACCACTGGTCCTGAGGGGTTCATCTGTCCTGGATTCCCTGTATTTCCAGTTCCTATCTGTGCCAGTGTATATCCTCCAGTCCAGCTGGATATGTAAGGTAGAATTGGGATCATGATAGTGGGGCGGGGAAGCATTCAAGAACTAGAAGAAAATTGCACATTTCATTGTTGTTACACTGCACTCTGACTGGCTCATCTCCTCCCTGCAGCCCTTCTGCAAGGGGATGTCCAATTTCCCCCAGATGGGCCCTGGGTCCCCACTCCGCACTCCCCCTGATTCACAATGCTATGATTTTTTTTTTTTTGATGCCGGATACCTGATCCCTTCAACACCTTGTCATCTCACAGGCTGGTGTGCTCCCAGATTCTATATATTTTGACAGCTGGGCACCATCAGCTTTCTTTACCGCATTTGCCTATGCACCCGCTTTGTCTTCAGCGTTCATGTCGGGGTAGGCTGGTGTGCTTCTTCCATGTGGGCTTTGTTGTTTCTTAGCTAGATGGGCACCTGATTGTCTTCAAGCCTTGTAGTCCCACCTATCTTTAAACAACTTTCTAAATAAACTCGACAACAACCAAGTCCCATTCCACCAAGCTGGTTCGGGTGCAGAGCGCAGGATTGTACTGCTAGGCTAGCTAACTTTCTGTTCTGGTTTGGGCTGGATGAGGCTCTGGGCTGGTTTGAGTCAGATGCTTAATAATGGGGTTACAGATCAGACCATCAACTATCCCTGTTTCCCTAGGGTCCAACCACGTTTAACCCTTTGTCCCAGAGAAGTGACTAATTCTGTCTTCTTTGCCCTCAAAAGTGACAATTATAGTTGCCCCGGCTCGAGATCACCCTTGATATTACTCTTCTTGCGAAGTGGTTTTAACTGTTCCCGAAGTTCTCGCTCACACAGCAGCTCAACCGGGAGTCACCTTTCACTGGTCCGGTTCAATCAGCAGAGAAATCAGAGAGGCAAGGACAAAGGAGTGGACACTCTTCTTGGGAAGGGAAGCTGCTTTCACTTAGTTTAGATTAGGGCTGCTTACACTTTTTCCACTTGCAACCCCTTTTCACCTGAGAAATTTGCAACATGGACAAGCACTGCACTGCCAGGAACACGTTGGGATTTTTTAATGAATTTTTGGTGGTTGTGTCTTCCGAAACGTTGCCAAATTTTTGTGACACCCCCTCCCCCCCATTTGGTGATGGGACCTCATAGGGGGTTACAATCCACATTATAGAAAACTTTGTTCTAGATCTGTTTATTCTAGTCTTGCCCTGCCTCTTTGCTTTCTTCATGAATAGATCTAAGTCACTCATATGTTATTATATTACTATAATTTTTGCAAGCCTGACTTGGCAGTAATTTCTGCCATCTTTCTTTGGTTTTCATCCAGGTTCCCCTCAGAGAGTTAATGGCAAAGTGAAAGGAAGGATCTTTGTGGGGGACAGCCAAGCCCCCATTGTCTTTGAGAACACCGACCTCCACTCTTACGTCGTGATGAACCATGGGCGCTCCTATACCGCTATTAGCACCATACCTGAGACGCTTGGGTATTCGCTGCTTCCCCTGGCCCCCGTGGGAGGCATCATTGGATGGATGTTTGCTGTGGAGCAGGATGGATTCAAGAATGGGTTCAGCATCACTGGTAATTTATATTCCACATTAGGAGGAGTGGGCCATGGGGGCGAATGGAATGGAACCCCTTATAAGCAAACAATGTGCCAATAAGCAGGTTATGATTCCTTTGTGACTCAAGAGAGAAGAACTCTTTCGTTTTGCCTTTGAACTATGAGACTGAGGTAAAGGGATCACATAATTTTTCACTAATCATCATTTTTTCCATGAACTGTGATGGCCTGGCATTGTATGCCTTTTTAATTGGAGTAAGATATACAGAGCATAGAAGTTGTCATGGTAATCATTTTCAAGTGCACAGATCAGTCATTGCCATCACAGTGCTCTGCGACCATCCCCACGATCTCTTTCCAGGTGTTGGATCGCTCAGAACAGTAGCTCTGTACTCCACAAACAGTGACTGGCCCGTCTCCCATTCCCTCTGGCATTGTATATCTGTCAAGCAGAAACTTCTGGGGGAGAGAGAGAAATCTCTAGTAGACCTAATGTCATCAATTTGCATGTCCTCATGGCCAAAAGTATATAGCCGACTAGTTCCTGCAATCTAATTAGTTTAAATCTGTCTCTGAATTCAAAACTAATCTGAAGTTGATAATTGGCATGTTCTCAGGATCTATGGGGAGAAAAAGAGTCATCACTTCTAGCTGACTAAATAAAGCCTAGTAGACACAAGCCTCATGAGCCATAAGAAACCTATTTCCCTATCATGGCTGTCCTCTGTACCTGGTCCCACCACCTCAGATGCTCCCTGCTCTCCGCGTTCCTGTGCTCGTCCTAGTTACTGTTGGTTTTTTGACCCCAAAGCGAATGAGTTTCAGCATGTTCCCTTGATGACCATTTGAATTCTCTGGGGGAGGGTTAGTGAGGTCCAGACACTGTCTTCCGAAGCGAAGCGTGTCGGCCTGGATGGAGGACACATCCAGAAATAGTAGCTGCACATTTTGAGATTTTCGTTCAATAAAGGCTTCTGTGATTTTATAGCAATACTTTTTTGACTCACCTTTGTAGCCATGGAATTACTGAAATTGCAAATCACCAGGCTCTAGCGTTTGTTTTGTGGCAATCCTTTTACTTTGTCCTCATCTCATGTATTCAAATCATTACATCTGGGGAGCATGTGACAATTTGCAGAGCACTTGTCACAAGACAGACTGTGTTGTTATACAAAATGGAGGTTCAGAGACCTGAAGTAAAGGCAGGTTCACCAGCCAATGCACAGCACAGCTAGATTACACTCAGGTCTCCTCTTTTTCTGCCAATGCTTGGCGCCAACGCTCCTCAGAGGTAAGCTTGGCTCTGAGAAGGAAGTAGCTTCTTGCCTCTCTGACTCAGTGGGCTATGTGATCCCCAAGCATTACCAGCCCCGTGGTTTATGAAGCCAACCAACTCACCTGCAGAGAAAGTGGCCGAACATCGTGGTTTCTTCTTGACTAGGACGCCAGGCCTGGGTAGTCAGGGAGCGTTGGGCACCCTTCCTGGAAATGAGCTGATACCCACTCAAAAACGACATTGCTTTGCAGGTGGTGAGTTTACCCGGCAGGCCGAGGTCACCTTCGTGGGGCACCCAGGCAAGCTGGTGGTCAAGCAGCAGTTCAGTGGCATCGATGAACACGGGCACCTGACCATCGACACGGAGCTGGAGGGCCGAGTGCCGAAGATTGCATTTGGCTCCATGGTCCACATTGAGCCGTACACGGAGCTCTACCACTACTCTCCCTCAGGTGAGGCCACGCCTCTGGGCGCCGCCCGGGTGGGGCGCCCCACGCCCTGCTCGGCCTGGGCCAGACTGAGAAGTAGTGCGCCTGCGTGCAGATGACGTCATGGCCCAACTTGGCGATCACCATGAGCAAATTTAAGCGGACTCCCAGCCTTTCTCTCGACATTATGTGTGTGTGTGTGTGTGTGTGTGTGTAAAATAACATAGTAGTAGCTTTAGTATAAAGTATATTTATATGCAGTTTTCAACTTTTATTTTGAAATGATTTCAAACCTGTGTAAAAGTTGAAAACGGAACAAAGAGGTCTTGCAAATACTTTACCTAGCTGAGCCTATGAGCAGTTTGCTACATTTACTCTATCATGCGCTCCCTATACGACAGAGCTTGGAAAAGCTTGTGGGAAAATCCCTTATTTCCCCCACAAACTTTGAAACCTTGCATATATGCATATGTAGTCATTCTTCATTTTGCTGTATTTTGCATTATTGTGCTTTACAGATACTATTTTTTTTTAATTTAGAAGTTGAAAGGTTTGTGGCAACCCTGCGCCGCCACGTCTCTCGGTGCCATGTTTCCCAATAGCACGTGCTCTCTGTGTGTCCCTGTGGCATATTTTGCTTGTTCTCATAACCTTTCAAACTTTTTCACGAAGCTATTGTATACTTAATAGATTTCAGTGTATCTCACTTTTGTAGGCACTAGGAAAACAACAGAAAAACAAAACCTGTGACTTAGTTGGTGCCTAGGGTCAGTTTATTATGGCGTTCTAGAATGGGACCTGCAGTATCTCTGAGGTGTGACTGTGTGTACACGTGTTCCCTAGGGGTTTCAATGATTTTTTAGAAGTAGCTCACCAGGCATTCTTCCAAGGAACCTCTGAGTGGACTTGAACCACCAACCTTCTCTTTAGAAGCTTTAATCATCTGTGCCACTATTCATACAGACATATGTATGTATGTACATCTATATGTATGTGTGTGTTGTTTTTATTTTTCTCTGAACTGTGAGAGGGTAAGTTGTAGACATCATGATGCTTCAACCTTAAATGCGTCATGTGTTTCTCCTGAGAAGAAGAGCCTTCATTTACCTGGCCAGAGTTCTTATCCAATCAAAATCTAACAGTAAGGCAATATTATTATAGATTCTAGAGGGAAGTACATAGTTCTTATTTAAATAAAGTTGTGATCATACTGTTAGGGTGTTGTGGGGGTCGGGGGTGGGGGAGCTGAGATCCTCAGTTCCTGGCCTCACCGTGAGAGAATTGCACTTGGAGGAATGGTAAGTCAAGCACAAGCTGAGCATTTTTTACTACATTCTCACAATTAAGAGCAGGCGCCCTGTGGTAGAGCCCTGGGGGTTGTTCCTGGGTTGTTTCGGGTATTTTCTGCAGGTAGCCTCCTCTGGAGCTTGGGTCCCTTAGGGAGGTGCTTGGTCAGACTGATGGGGCCCCTGAAGAGGAGTCGCTTCTTTATTGTGCGCTGCATCATCTCATGACTTGATTTGTCTATCCAGGGGTGCTGAACTACAATAATAGGTCATTACAATGACATGAGGGTAATTGACATCAAGTTAGTTGGAGAACACTTCCGGTCTTTCTGCACCTGTGTGGCTCCTGTGGCCTCATGTGTGATTTGGTGTCCTCATCAGATTGGCTGGGACCCCTTGGGACCCTCCACTTTTGACCCCCATCCTCCCTAACTGACTGACTAACATGTGGCTAACTACCTAACTAGATCACATTTTTCTTTTTCAATTAATAACAAATCATGACTATTTTTGTAGTTTCATTAATAGGCTTTGAAAATACATGTTAAGGAATTTATATTATCTTACTGTATGGCTATTAGGTTAAACCATTCTCCTATTGTCTAAAGTTTAAGTTATTGCTCATTTCCCGCCTTCATGACAAGTTGAAATAACTGTCTTCATCACAAATCTTGGCCACGTTTCTGATTTTTTTAAAGTAAGATTCAGTTCCTAAAAATAGAAGGGATGGGTCAAACAATAGGAACTCCTCAAAGACTCTTGTTAAAGTCCTGTCCAGAAAGGTGGTACCAATGACTCAAGGCTTTACACCTTGATTAGGCATTTCCTCCATCAGGGAAATGAGCACAAGGCAGAGAGGCGGGGAAAGGAAACTGAGCCCTGGTCTGCAGGCTGCCTGTAACTAGATGGAATTTCTGGCAGCTCAATGCATGGACTGGAGGGAGGCGGCAGCTCACACTGTTCTTTTATTTCTCTTCTGGCTTTTGTGCTTTTATGGACTGAACTATAGCAGAGCACAGAACTATAAAGAGTCTTTCATACTTTTTATTTTTAAATAGGAAGTTGTGGGTTTCATTGCATGGGTGTATAACTGGCCTCTGATGGGGAAAGCTGGCTTCTTCTTTCCATTGTTAATTTGGGTTGTAGCAGTTCAAGAAGTTTTCAGAAATTGACTGAAAAAACCCCATTTGATTTCTAAATTGTAATACCATAGATGACTTAATCTAAGACCATATAGAGAAACTACTATTTACTGAATCCTAAATCAGATAACCTGGATAAAACAGTTAGAAAACCTATATAAAGCTGCTAGCACACTGCTCGACACATAGTGCATGCTCAGTCCATTCTAGTAAATAGTTTTTATTGTAATAGTCTTGTGGTGGTGGTAGTTTGTTGCCTCGGAGTACAGACAACAAAATAAAGCATTGTCTGGTCCTATCCCCTCTTCATGACCATTGGTATGCTTGCTAATAGCCTGCTCAGTTCTAGAAGTTTCACATCCTTCCTCATCCAGTCCCTGGCCAAATCTATTTTCGAAGAAAGAGAGGCTAGAGCAGTCAGTGATTCATAGGCTTAGCCATGAACTCAGATTTCTGTCCTTCCAAACTAGTGCCCTTTCTAGCAGGCCAGTCTCTCAGTTAGTCCTTACGATATCAGGCACTTTCCTAGAATCACTGGATAAGAAAAAGCAACAACTATAATAATGGGAGTTCTAGGTAATGCAGTAAGTTGCCACCCTAAACTAAATCTTCTTGTTACCCTGGTCTACTTGTCCTCTCATCTGGTAGCATCAGAGGGACAGGTAGAGCTGATTGGCTAAAAGCTAGATTCTTCCATGTACATCCTTAGAGATTTCTCTATTGTCTTTCTGCTTTGTCCCCTGCTCTCATTCCCAGTAATCACATCTTCCTCCACAAGAGAGTACACTGTGACGGAACCTGAGCAGGATGGGGCTGCCCCCTCCCACACCTACACCTACCAGTGGCGACAGACCATCACCTTCCATCAGTGTACCCATGATGAGGCCCGGCCTGCCCTGCCTAGCACCCAGCAGCTCTCAGTGGACAGCGTGTTTGTCCTGTACAACCAGGATGAGAGGATCTTACGATATGCTCTGAGCAATTCTATTGGCCCTATGAAGGGTAAGTGATGTGGTCGGTTAGATCAGGCGCCATGTGTGGGCCTATGTGTGTCTATGTGCCAACATGTCTCAAATGCTTGCTCTGTGCATTGTCTTTAATCCCAACTCTCAAGCTATGGGAGGAGGGAACGTGCTTAGATTTAGCTATCTCCACTCAGAAAAAGGCTTACTATTTATGAGTCTTAAGCAACCTAAGTGTCTCTATCCTTGTAAGCGAGAGCCTTTTCACTACAGAATGCCAACCCACTGAGTTACCTTACTAAGCAGGTGGACCATCCAAGGGCTTCCGCTGTGACAGGGTTTTAAGAACACGCCAATACTCTGGTCTTGAAAGGAACATGTGCTGGCGCCTATGCAGTGGAGACATGCCTGGTAGGCTCAGAGCCTAAATAGAAGGTGTGTGGTCTGTGTGGAGGCACCTCTGGCTACCCAGGAGGAGCTGGGGTTAGGGAGCAGAACGAAGGCAGGTGCCTTTCTCAGTCTTAAAGCTGTAGCTCTAGGTATGAAAGGTTGGCATGTTTTTAAATTTAAGGGCCACATGGCAGATATTTTAGGTTTGGTAGCTGATCTCTAAGACGACATCTTGTTATAATTCCAAAGGTGCAGAGCCATGCATCTGTCAGTGGATGAGTGTGTCTAGTTTACAATAAAATTTTTGTTTATTTACAAAAAAGGCAATTGCTGGGGGGGGGGATGTAGCTCAAGGACACTTGCCTTGGGGTGGGCACAGAGGGACTCAGCCGATTTCATATTTCAGAACCCTATGGGGCTTGTAACAATTGCCTTCTTGGTCATTGGCCGTGGTTCACGTTCTGGGGCACGAGGAAGCGATATTTGCTCCCTGTAAATGTTTTTGCATTCACAGATGGCTCCCCGGATGCCCTTCAGAATCCCTGCTACATTGGCACCCATGGCTGTGACACCAATGCTGCATGCCGGCCTGGCCCCGACATACAGTTCTCCTGCGAGTGCTCCGTTGGTTTCCGAGGAGATGGGCGGACCTGCCAAGGTAGGGCACTGCGTTTGCCTTGTGGGAGCTAGGAAGCTGGGATCTTTGAGCCTTAGAGCTTGGCATGACAGGTGCCTGAGAGCTGAGAAGTCCAGTGAGACAAACACTGACAAATTACATTCGGTGGTCCCCTGTTGGTTAAAGGTTTGACCTTAGAAACCTGACAGGGACCTGACAGGGACCCCAGTTCCACAGACCTACATGACCTGGAGTCAGAATCAATTCAACAGCCACTCGTTAGAAAGACAAGCAGGTCCCTCCACCTTTTCATAAGGTATAAGCATCTGGTGAGGCCAGCAGGTTCATACCTCTGGGACAGCCTCCGTTCTGCAGCTCAACCCTCCAGTTACTGGAGGATGTACTTTGCTCCTTAAGGTTGGCAAGTCCTATTGTGAGGGTCTGGCCTGCCCTGCTTGCTAAGAATATGCAGAATCCAGGCTGAGGCTGCCTTTTTGTCACATACCAAGTGGGATGGTCGTTCCCACTTCACGCTAATCATTGGCATTTCCTACTCTCCCCCAGACTGACAGTTTTGAATGGTTCATTTGTCTTAAGCCAACTTGAAGCAATACCTGTGGATGACAGGGCCTCCTACATCCATCCTAAGGCTTCATGCCACCTTGTTTCAATTTCATGTTGTTATTAGCTGCCATTCAGTTGGGCCCTGACTGCTGGCAACCCCATGCCATTGGGATGCATGGGGTTTTCATTCCTAGGTTTTTTGAAGTAGATTTGCAAGTCTTTCTTCCTCGTTCATGCTCGTGTGAAAGCTTTGCTACAATGTAAAATGCAATGCTTGGCCGCATTACAGCCACTGCTAGACGGTATTGACAACCTGTTAGGTGCATTGGCCAGGAAGTGAACCCTGGCCTCCAACTTGGAAAGCAAGAATTCTACCACACAATCACCACTGCCTCTTTCAACTTCAAGGTCAATAAAGTAGGACTGAGAAGGGAGGTAGCCCAGTCTGCTGCTGTTGAGCTCTGACCTGTCCTTGAGAGAGCACTTGACTTCAGAGGACACAACCAGTCATGCTTTCTGTCATCTGTCGCAATCACAGAACTGCCTCCCCCCACCCACCCCCCTAAGTGCTCCAGGATGATCAGCAGTTGGCGTTTGTCCTGTGTTTTGTCCTTGCACTAGCTGATTAGCACCACAGGGGAATGTGGGTGTTTTTCCAGTCAGCTCCTTGTTTTTTCTGGGTCAATAAAAAAGGCCTCAAAATGTTAATGCATGGAGACAACAGGCTTTTCATAGGAAATTGCATTAGCAGATCACTTCGGGTGTTGTTTTAATCTGGGAAGCGCTGCCGTGGAGAGGGGGGAGACCACGCCTGCCTGTATAATGCAGTGTGCGTGCAATATGGAGAGAATGCTAAGTGTCATCCCAAACAAGGCTGGTCTGCTGAGACAATGAAGTGAGTCACCAACAAGGGACAATTCCCAGTTGAATCACAGAGCACAAGTGCCTGCCAGGAGGCCTTACATGTATTTTTCAATTAGGAGTCTGCAGAGATGGTTTTGACAAAAGACCTTCATTAAGGACTGTTCAAGTACACGCGGGCATTTAACAAGTTGATGAGGCTTGTTGGAGAGCCTGCCCTTTGATGAAAGGCAAACTGGCAAAACTTACAGTTGTTGAAAATATGGGATAGTAGCCACCCGGAAAGTGACGGAAAGACAAAAGGGAACACTAACTTTTATATATATATATATATATATATATAGAGAGAGAGAGAGAGAGAGAGAGAGTTATTGGTGAAGCAGCAGCACTCGTTTTAAGAACAATTCAGTACTTTCCTATGGGGTCAGAGAGTGGTTTAGGTGAAAAGGGAATCTCTTTCCAGAGAGGAAATTGAATAATAATCATCCTCAAGCAGATTCAGTGATATTTTATAACATCAGTAATTCACTATTTCCAATAATGAAAGAACTAAGGCCCATGCTTTAATTTGCAAAACAATACAAACCAACCCATATATGTAGAGTCAATTCTAAGTCTACAGAGTACAACCCCAACATAGAATTTCTCTATAGGGCAGTGGCTCTCAACTTGTGGGTAGGGACTCCTTTGGGGGTCAAATGACCCTTTTACAGGGGTCACTTGATCCATAACAGTAGCAAAATGACAGTTATGAAGTAGCAATGAAAATAATTTTATGGTTGGGTGTCACCACCACACGAGGAACTGTATTAAGGGGTCGTGCGTGGCACAAGGAAGGTTGAGAGCCTCTGTTCTAGGGTTTCCAAGGCTGTCCTTCCTTGTGGAAGCCGCTTGCCTGTCTTTCTTCTGCGTATGATCAAGCTACCCTGGGGCTAGCCGCCAAGCACTTGGCACCTGGGCTTCTTCAATCGCAGAAGGAAGGAATTAAACCAGACATTCGTAACTATTCCAAACCTCAAGTACCATGAGATATTAATGGCAGCATCGGTAAGGTCTTGTCTAGACAGAAAAGTTGTCTTCCTGACAGGCATCCATACATAACCCTGCGTAGTAAAGCAGGCTAGGATAGGGACTACTTTCTGATCCATCTCAGGAGCCATGAGACCCTATTTGCCACTGACTTTCCAGGTGGAGTGAGATGCCTTAGTGGTAAGGGTTGGAGTGCTAATCGAAAGGTAGGTAGCTCAAACTCACCAACTGGTGGGCTTGCACTTTATTCTAACCCCGATCTAAGAACAATGAGACCCTAGGACATGGCCCCCCTCACCCTCATGAAGACATCATTGAAGATCTGAGAGTTATAGCAAAGTGCGGGGAGGAAACCAGCTGGTGCCCGGCTATCAAAAAGAATAACATTTGCGATCTTAAAGGCTTGTTTTCAAATAATCAGCCATCTAAGCGAAGGGTCAACTATGTCCACAGGGAAGAAGCACACTCACCTGTGTGATCCAAGGATTGTGAATAATAAAATCCGGAGGAGGGGAGGGTGTGAAAACTGGGTGTGAACTCCTGGTTTACAGAAGACGCTTGATGACAGTGGGAGCACCCCCGCATGGATTAAGCCACTGGTGACTCCTCTGAACGCAGTTGAGGGTGTGAATAGCCTTGCTGTCACACAGCGAGCATCAAGTCCGCCCTGGCAGATGTCGTTAATCCATTCTCATCTTATCTCCTTTTCTGACCCATCGTAAAGTTGCTGCAGTTTTTCATACTTTCTGCTTTTTTTTTTTTAATGATATTTTTCTATGTTTTGTCTAGACGTTGTTGCTTTTTATTTGCTTATTTGTTTGCTTCCTGTTTGTGTTTTGTATGATTTTCTCTAGAGGAAATCATGCTAGATCGATCTATAGAGACAGTAACTGGATTGATAATTTCCTAGGAAGGGGGGCAATGGGGAGCTAACAACCAGTACTAGAAGAAAACGTTCTGAAATGGATTGTGGTGATGATTGCACAAACTCCTTACTATGACCGAGTGATTCGATTGTATGATATGTGAAGTATATGTCAATCAAACTATTAAAAATATTTAGAATCTTGTGGTCCATGAGTTCCTTGGGGTGGGGATAAAGATAACAGCCCTCAAAAGCTTGTGTAATGCTGCTTTGAGTCGGAGTCTACTCGATGGCAGGGAGCATAGACAGTCAGGAAGAGTGCATTGCTAATCACTAAAAAGCTTTTCAAAACAGACAGCCTCCCTCTCCATAGTGGAGGGATTAGAGTTTGCAAAAGTCCCCCTGGTGATTTGGCTTTGTCCCCTGACTGAGAACTGCTGCTTTTTGCTGGTGTCTGTCCTTTGGCAGTCCTGTCCAATCCATTGTACATTGTGTCTGTACAAATGTCCAAAGCATTTGTGCTGGGAGTGTCCTGAGATTTGGGGTGTAGGCGCTAGTGGAGGGCAGGTGATCTCTCTCCCAAGTCTCTGGAGGAACAACGCGGGGATTGGAGCTCTGCAGAGTACAGTGGTTCCCTAGGAGTTCCTAGGCTGCCAGCCTTTAAGGGACCAGATAGTCTCAGCTTTATCTCTCAGAGCAGCTGGTGGGTTTGAACTGTGACCTTGTGATTTGTAGTCTAATGGGTCATCCAGTATGCTGCCAGAACTGGCAGCCATATTTAAATGTACTGACTAGTTTAGACCCTTTGCTTAGACACTTGTCTCTCCCCTCTTCTAATGTATATTTGCCCATTTGATATTCTTGACTTGGGCTGTGAGTCCCAGGCGCAGCATGGGAAATAGAGAAGGGTAGCAGAGCACACACTTAGGAAGAGGCCTTAAGGAGCTCTCTCTAAACAAAGTCATGAAGGGGGGGCGGGGATCTCATTTTAAGATGGACCTGTTTTCAGAGATAATATGCCTACTGTTTTATTCAGTGATGTTTGAAGAGATTTCTAAAAGTCTGCTTTTTTTAAACGTACTGCAGATATCGATGAATGTTCAGAGCAGCCTTCCGTGTGCGGGAGTCATGCCATCTGTAACAATTACCCCGGCACTTTCCGCTGTGAGTGTGCGGAAGGCTATCGGTTTTCTGAAGAGGGGACCTGTGTGGGTAAGTTATCTAGATATGTTTTCAAAACATTCAGTTATATGATTTATCCTATGGAAGTGAGGCTGCCGCAGGGCATTGCCTCGGCTGTGCTGTAGGTGCCTGTTCTGCGTTTGGGTGGGGCTCTTCACAAAGAGGAATCAGGCTTAATTCCTGTCCTCTGAGTATGTGGAGAGGCAGAAGTACCAGAACATTGTTGTCTGCACTAAGGATGCTGTCCCCGAACAACCCATTTTATTTTACTAGGCCTGCAAGCATTTGTATTATATTCATTTCTTAATTCCTTTAGTTATAACTTTAATAGCTAATAGACAATAAAGCTTGTTTCTCCTTATACTTATAGTGGCCTTGTGCTTGATTTGGGGAAGACTGGAGAAACGTCTTGTTCACGTGGTTTTATATGTTTATTTGTTTTTTAAACCTTCTGTGTTGCTGCTAGCATCCTTTCTAGCACAGTGTTCTATACAACCAATAGATGGAGTTTTATTAAAGGGAATAACAAAGCAAAAGGGTGTGTTTGACCTGTCTCCATAGCCTCTTTCTGGTCTGGTCTCCGGCAGTAATCTGGATAGACGCATGTGTTCTAGCTCATTTCCTTCTAAAAGTCTTTTGGGAGGCATTCTACCTATGGATTGTTTTTAGGAACTTTGCGGAGGCCCCGCTTTGTTGAAGTAGGTTGGTGCTCTCAGAGTAACCATGCTTGGCTGATGACGATGATGATGGTCGTGGTGGTGGTGGTGGTCGTGGGTGGCCCACCAAACACAAAGAGTCAGGTTGTTTAAGTTTCCTTTTTGCCTACATGTTGGCTCCAAATACTTTAAGTTCAAAGATTTTTAGAGCTTTCCAGGTCTGGAAAAAAGCGTGTGGAATGGGACATCGGAACTCAGCATTTTCCCCCAATTTAAAACAGATTTCTTTTTATCAGTGAGCCACGTCTTTGTCCCTGCCTTACTGCTTACTCAGTGCTGCGTGTTTTCTGTTTGCCTGCCCTTGCAGCGCAAGTGAGGCCACTGAGGTCCCAGGATGAAGTAGTTTTGGAGAGTGGGCAGGAACAGGCAGTTCTCAGATTTTGAGTGTGACCCAAACATCTGTGAGCTGAGGGAGGCCAGGGGCCTTTTCGGGGAGTTGAGATTTCAGACTTCAACAGAGAATATCTACATCTGTGTGGTTAGCCTGATTTCTTTCTCTGCTGTTCGTGAGGAGGAAATTCAAAAGTAGACTTTCCCTGGCAGGGCTCCACTCACATTCCATTTTCGTTCAGCCGTGGGTGATGCATGCTATGCTCCTTGAGTGGTGAGCTCTAGTCCACAAGATCCGTACTGGGTCAGCTGTGTGAGATGGGCTGTCCTCAGAATGGGTTTCTGGATCCCACACTCTGACTGATGTGCGCATTCCCTGCGGAGAAAAGTGGTATGGGCAAGTGCACTCCTAGATAGCTCATTTGGTGGTAGACTCTCTGGGAGCCCTAATGGTGTCCTGGTTACAAGGTGGGCTGGGTCCGAATGGTCAGCAGTTCAAAACTACCAGCAGCTCCTCAGGAGAAAGACTGGGCTTTCTGCTCCTGTGAACAGCTACAGCCTTAGAATCCCACAGGGGGTCATTATGCATCAGCATTGACTCGATAGCAGCGAGTCCGTTTGTTTGAACCACTCTGGACCTCAGCTCTTCATCTACAAACTTGGGCTATGCGCCTGGGTCATTGGTTGTCCACTTGAGGACCATGGAGCCCTTCGATGTGCCTCTAGGGGCTGCAAAGGACATGGGGCAGCCAGTGGGCAGGCTCCCCTTTAGCTCCCATCTTCAGTCTTTTGCTTTCCTATATATCAAATTCGGAATAAAATTTTGAGAAAACGAGATGCATTGCTCAAAAACAAGTGCCAAAACCACTGAATGACCCTTAAGCTTCTCAGCTCTCACACCATGAGATTTCCTGAACCTTCCACTGTCTGTTGACCCCATGCGATCCTATCCCATTCACCTCTCCCCTCATTTAGTTAGCTCTTTTCAGATGTACTACACTGAGAGATGGCTAACTAAACCCAAGTCTGCCTACATGCATTCAAACACTATCTTTGGTTTTACCACTAGTCTGCCTCAGCAATCCTGATTGACATCAGAGGAATATGAGGCTCCTGGACATTTCCTGGTTTCCCCAAGGCCCTGGGGTGGACACAGTGTACTTGGTGTAACTTTAGGACTGGTCCTCAGTGGTCCACATTATTTCCACCAATATTCTCACTCCCATGGAAATGTGTCTTTGCTCTTCCTTGGTGGAAGTGGATAACTTGTCTTTAGCCTGCACAAGATGGAAAAGACTAGGGGACTCCAGATGAAAGACTCAATTACGTCAAATTCGGCACTAAGTCAGTTGTATTAGGAAGTATGTACATCTGCACGTGTCCCCAATCCACATCCAGAATGAGGGGAAATTGGCTCCTTGAGACTCATTACAGGGTCCGGTTTGAAGTATGGCCCAACACAGAGCCTTGGGGTGTGAGATTGGAAGGGCAAGTGTGCTATCGATCTGTAAAGAAGAGTCAGGCAGATTCCAGGCAGGAGGAAAGCCAGTGAGGCCAGGCCAGTGATGTGTAGAGATGTGGGGTCAGGCAGGTCCTTCTTTAGGGATCCTGGGAGAATAAACTATTGGTGTGGCAGGAGCTTGATGGGCCGACTCGTAGGACTCTCACACTCAAATGATGCGTGGACCTTTTGTTCCAAAGCTGTCGAGGACCAGCGCCCTATCAACTACTGTCTAAGTGGACTCCATGACTGTGACATCCCCCAGCGGGCCCAGTGCATCTACACGGGAGGGTCCTCCTACAGCTGCTCTTGTCTGCCTGGCTTCTCGGGGGGTGGCCGGGCCTGTCGAGGTAAGTGCTGACTTTTTCCATGCCAAGAAATTAACCTGAAAGCATCTGCTCTGTGGTAACTCTTACTGGGGCCTTACCCACTCACTCCCAAATCATCCTCACTCTGTCCGGTGAATGGCTGAATTCTGACTCGCTGAGCTTGGATTTTGGAGGCTGTTCTCCTTGGCGAAGGCAGTTAGTCCTCCCCGCCTGCTCTGTTGTATGTGACGTAATCCGACAGCTGTCTGCCAAGAACTGAAATGTTGTTTGTTTTCGTGAAAAGACAATCCTGTATACGTGGAGCGTAGGAGCAAGTCATTCAGTTGGCCCACTCGTCTAAGAAAGCACTAATCCATTATTATAATCCATTATCCATTCTAAGAAAGCGCTGATCCATTAAATAATAATGGCTGCCAAGAATCTATCAGATCCGAAACCACCTCAATGTTAGCTCAATGTTAGAGCAAATTTTAATCTTAGATAACTTGTGAACACAGGACCTTGGGCATCTTGATTTGCAAAATCACTTAATGTTATTAAATGGAATGGGAGCAATGGTCATGTAGTAATAAAATGCTCATCTTCCAGGCTTTCTACTCCTGTGAAGGTTTGTCATCTCAGAGACTCACAGGGGTAGTTCTGCCCTCACCTGAGGGTTGCTATTACTCAGCATTGACTTGATGTGAGTGGAAATAATGAGTTCCCAGGGGTATGATTGATAATGTTCTCTCAGAAAATTCCAATGATGTTTCAATGTAGACATATATAAACCATAGGTGCATGAATGAATTTGGGGCTTGCACTTAATTCTACATCCATCTAAGAACAATTAGTTCTTACGCTATGGTCCTACATGATGCTCAACCTCATGAAGAAATCACTGAAGATATGGGTACTATAGCCAAGTGTGGTAAAGAAACTAGATGGTACCCAACTATCAAAAAGAATAGTATCTGGGGTTTTAAATGCTTGTTTTCAAACAAGCAGCCATCTAAGTGAGGTGTCAACCAAGCCTACATTGAAGGAGTGCATCAGCCTGTGTGATCCAAGGATTGTAGATAGTAAAATCCAAATCTAAAGGAGAGAATGGTATCAGAGCTTAAATTGTGAACACCTGGTTTGCAGAAGGCTATGGATGACAATGGAAGTCCAAAATCTGTTTGTAGGGTCCAAACATAGATTTAGCCTCCGATGACTCCCCTGTGATCATAGTTGAAGGATGTGAATAGCCCTGTTATCAGACAGAGAGCATTGTAAAGTCGAGTATGGCAGATCTAGTTAGGTCAAAATGTAATATCTTATCATTTGATCTCCCTTTAGACTCATTTTAAAGTTGTTTGAGTTTTAAAAATAAATGAAGGGGAAATACACTTGGATTAATTTAGCCCTTGGGGAATGCCCTCTGACCATGGACCAGGGTTATAAACAGCCTTGTTAATTTGCAGAATATATTGGAAAGTGGATTGGTTCATATGCAGTTGGGTTAAAATTTAGCACCCTATCATTTGCTCTTCCTTATGATTCATTTAACTTTGTTCTAGTTTTTAATATTTTCTGCTTTTTTATTGAGTTTTTTAATCTGTTTTATTTTGTTATTGTTAGATTTTTTTAAATTTGTTTTTTAATGTTTTTTTCTGTATATGAAATCGAGGATAGATAAATCTCTAGAGACAGTAACTGCATTCATGGTTCCTTTCGGGTATGGCAAAGGAGTACAAGAATGAAAAAACAAGTTCTAAAATGGATTGTGGTGATGATTGCACAACTCTTGATAGGATTGGACTATTGGATTACATGAGTTATGTAATATGTGAATTACGTGGCAATAAAACTGGTGGGAAAAAATTCTCATTTTCCATGCTAGAGACTCGGATTCAATTTCCATGCATCTATCAGTGGAGACTTGTTGCTAGGATCCTCTATAGACTTGAATGGGACTTCCAACCTAAGACAAACTAAGGATGGGAGTGAGAAGCCTGCTGATTTTATGAAATCATAGTTCAGTGGTCTGGTTTCTAACCCATCGTGGGAATTGCACAGAACCTGCAGCATTCATTTTCATTTCACATGGGGTTATTATGAGCTGGGGACTAATTGCCCGCTAAATGACAAGTCATAGTAGACAGTATTTTTGAAAAGTACAAACTTTCCCAAGATGTATCCTAATCTCTGAGATACTTTCTCTTTTTACCGAATATGTGCGTATTCTCACATCTGAGGTTTCTCGACCGTGCACATACACTACAGTAACAGAACGTTTTGAAAACTTATTTATGAAGGGAGAGATCATTGCATAATTTTAAAGAAGCCTCCTTTTTTCTTCTGTGTTTTTGTTTGTTTGTTTTTTAAATGAAAAACATTGCCAGGAAAGTAGAACACATTTTCAAGTACAATAGGTACAACTTTGGGAGGTCGTATCTTACTAGTTCACGTTCATAAATGTTGTTAGATGCTGTTGAGTTGGCTCCAACTCGCAGAAACCCTGTGTGCAACTTTATTATCAGACAATAAAATTGTTAGTGGTTAATCCCTCAGAAGCAGACTGCCTGTTTCCACTTCTCTGTTCTAACTCTGGATGTTCCCATGAAATATGTTCACCATCGGTGACTGCTGATGTTTGGTCATCACGCAAACCACACAGAAGCCAGCACATTATGGCAAACTGAGACATGAATGGTCGAACTAATGCGTACTGAACTCTAAATTACCGTTTCCAGGCAGAAACAGGTCTCCATAGAGTTGGGCAAGTGACTGAAATCATTTTGTGAACTGTGAATTCCAGAGGAAAGCTCACTGTCAACTGTGAACCATGTTGATATTTTGCAGATGTCGATGAGTGCCAACCAAGCAGATGTCACCCTGATGCCTTTTGCTATAATACCCCAGGCTCCTTCACCTGCCAGTGCAAGCCTGGCTACCAGGGAAATGGCTTCCGTTGCTTACCTGGGGGTAAGATGGGGGAGATTTGGAGTTGATAACCCCCTACTGCGTTTATGAGTCCTTAATTCATGGGCCTGGGAGAGCGGTCAGGTGAAGAGGGAGCTCCACAGAGGCGTCTGAGAGTTGTCATGGTTGGAGATCAGAACGCAGGCTGCAATCTACCACTGCACAGGCCATGTTCCACACAATCCCAAGGGAAGCCCTTCACCTGGGTCATCCCTGAGCTGGTAGCTCGCTGTCGGGTTGTGCTCGAAGGGCATCTGCTGTCTGGGTAAGCACTGTTTCCTGGGAGCAATGGGGAGCACAGTGTGGTGGGGTGGAGGGCCACTATTTACTGAGGATTCCACACCATTTGGTGTAGTGCCTGTTGTTGCTAGTTGCCATCAGGCTGGTTCTAACTCACAGAAGTAAATAGCGCCTGGGTCTGCGCCATCCTCACTCACAATTGTTGCTATGTTTGAGCCCATTGTTGTGGTCACTGGTTCAGCCCATTTTCTTGAGGATTTTCCTCTTTTTTGCCGATCCTTTCTTTTACCAGGTATGGTATCCCTCTGCAGGGATTGGTTCTTGCCATCTTCCCTTCTGAAGGAGCATTCTGGCTATGTTTTTTCCAAGACAGAGTCATTCAATTCTTTGGGAAGCCCATGGTACATTCAGTATCCTTTGCCAACACCGTAATTCAAAGACTTTGTTTTTCTCGGGGCATCCTTATTCACCGTCTGGCTTTCGCATACACATGAAGGGATTGGAAATATTATAGTTAAGCCCACTTCAGTCAGACCCACTTTAGTCCACAAAGTGGCATCTTTGTGCCTTCACACGGTAAGGGGGCCTTTCGCAGATTTGGCCAATGTAGAATGTTGCTGGGTTTCTTGATTGCTGCTTGCATTGTGGAACCCAATAAAATGAAATCCTTGACTACTTCAATTTTCAATCTTTTCTCTGTTTATTAGGATACTGCTTATTGGTCTAATTTTGAGGATTTTTGTATTCTTTATGTTACGGCAGAATCCATATTGAAGTCTTTGATCATCATCCATATGTATTTTAAGCCCACTTCACTCACTGCAAGCAAGGTTGTGTCATCTCCACATTTCAGGCTGTTAATGAGTCTTCCTCCAATCCTGATGCCTTATTCTACTTCATGGAGCCCAGCTTCCTGGATTATTTGCTCAACATGTAGATAGACTAGGTATAGTGAACAGATACAATCTTGATACACACCTTTTCTAATTTTAAACCATACAGTATTCCTTTGTACTGTTAAAATTACTGGTTTTCGGTCTATATACAGATTCCACCAGAAAACATTTAAGTGTTATGGAATTTATATTCTTCACTGTGCTTTTCATACTTTATTATAATCCACACTGTCAAATTCATTTACATTTAATGAAATACAGGCAAACCTCTTTCTGGTAGCCTCTGCTTTTAAACAAGATTCACCTGACGTCAGCAATGACATCCCTCATTCCACCTCCTCTTCTGACTCTTGCTTGAATTCTTGGCAGTTCCTTGTCTATGTATTGCTGCAGCCATTTTTAAAAGTCATCTTCAGTAAAATTTGTTGTGTGTGATATTAATGGTACTAGTTGATAACTTCCATATTATGTTGTATCACCTTTCTTGGGAATAGGCACAGTCAGTTGGCCAGTTAGCTTTCTAACGAACATTTTGGCATAAAGGGGTGAACACCTCCTGCACTGAATTCATTTGTTGAAACATTTCAGTAATTCCTAGAGCCGTGCAATGCCAATGCCCCCCGCCACTGTCATGATCCCAATTCTACCTTACAAATCCTACTAGAGCAGAGGATGTACACTGGTACAGATCAGAGCTGGAAACACAGGGAATCCAGGCCATATAAACCACTCAGAACCAATAATGAGATTAGCAATACCAAGAGGGGTAGGGGAAGGTGCGGGAGAAAGGGGGAACCAATCACAATGATCTACATATAACCCCCTCCCTGGGGGTCAGACAACAGAAAAGCAGGTAGAAGGAAACATTGGACAGCTTAAGATATGACAAAATAATAATAATTTATAAATTATCAAGGGTTCTTGGAGGGGGGGCGGATGAAGAGCTGATGCCCAGGGCTCAAGTAGAATGAAAAGGTTTTGAGAATGATGATGACAGCAAATGTACAAATGTGCTTGACACATGGATGGATGGATGGATTGTGATAAGTGTTATATGAGCCCCCAATAAAAAGGATTTAAAAGAAAACGAATGATACAGCTGATATATGAAATTCAAAAATATAATGTTGAGCACAAAATATTATATTTATACACAGTATGATGGCATTTGCATACAATATACAACTATGACAATAAGGCTACATAAGAAGGGATTTCAAAAGTTCATGGGAAAATAGAATGGAAAGATAACAGAAATTTTCCATGAACTTTAAACGTGTATATGTGTGTGTTATAGTTTTCTTACATATATTTTTGTGTTGCTTTTTCTACATATGTATGTAAGAAGAAAAAATACCTCACTTTCATCAAGTCAGTTTTGACTCGTGGTGACCCTACACAAGAAGCCAGAATTCTAGATAGCAATCACTGCTGTGTGGAAAACAGGGGCTTGGGTTTGGGGAAGGTTACACAGGGTATTTCGCTCTCTCTTTTAAAAACTTTTATTGTGAATTGGGTGAGGATTTACAGAACAGATCATAAGTTTCACATTCAACAATTCATGCACATTTTGTTTCATCTCATTCATTGCAACGCTTTCAATGTACCATCCCTTTTCCCACTTTCTCTCTGTGGTCTCTGTCCCCACTCCCCCTCTCCCAAAACCCCACAAAACTCACACCGACAAAAAACGCCGCTGTCGATGTTCAATGGCTGATTATTCTAAGGAGTGCATCCCTCACTAGTGTTATCTGTTCTCCTCATAGACCTACAGTTTGCCTGAAAATTGAGCCATAGGGTGAGTTCATTTTCAGATTTGAATGGTGACTGAGGGTCATTGTCTTCGAGGTTTCACCAGCTTATACCAGACCAGGAAGCCTGATCTCTTTTATGCTTTTGAGTTTTGTTCCACATTTTCACCCCCACTCTCGCCAAAACCTTCTAATGTGATCCTTATGTAGCAGTTGGGAGATTTAGCCCATAGCACCATCTAGTTAGCCAGGCACCATCTAGGTCTTCAGGTGCCAGGGTTGTAGAAACTAATGTTTGAATGCTTCATTAGTCCATTGGGATCATTGTTTCCATGTTTGATTTTCATCATTTTTGTCTCCCTTGGACAAGGAGACACAGTTGCACCTTAAGTAACGGCTCATGAACTTTTACAGTCTTTGCTTATCAAAACCCAAAACCGAACTCGCTGCCATTGAGTTGACGCCAATTCACAGCAACTCTATAGGACAGGGTAGAACGGCCCCTGTCCGTGCCTGAGTCTGTAACTTTATGAGGGTAGAATGCTTCAGTTTTCTCCCACCTGCTCACCAAAGTAGGATATAAAACATCTCTGTGGACTATGCCAATTAAGCTTTGTATCCTTCACATATTATTTCTGATAGTTTGCTTCTCCACTGTAATATGACTATAGAGGTTTTGATCATGTTTTTCTTGTTTTGCATGACTAAACAATTTAATTAAGCATTACAGAGAGACAGATCATTTGTAATACCATCAGCAATCATATCTACCCATAATGAAGCACAGGATCAAATAACAAGCACTATTTGGTACCTACTGTATTGGCTTAGGTTGGGTTTTCTAGAGAAGCAGCACCAATGATCCTTGTATGTGTACATAAATAGAAAAAGATAGAAACCAAAAAATGTCTCACACCATTATAGGAGTAGGTGTTGGTTCAAGTCCAGGTTCAATTTCAAGTTCAGGTTGCTTCAAGACAGGGGTCAGATGCAAGCTGGAAGCTTCTCCTGACTCATGCAGCTGCAGGAGATGATGATCAGAAAGCAGGAAGACCACAGGCTGGTGGATACGGCACTGAGTGAATCCAGTGTTGGCAATCTTCTGATGGCATCTTGGAGTGGCAGGCAATATGACAACAAGTCAATAAACCAGATGCAGGATCCTTATCTAATAGTAGACGTGCACTACCTTCCCCAGACTGTTAATGTAACTAAGAGCAGGCTATACCGTGAATGAAGCCTCTCCTCAATCTGTATCCAGACTGTGACCAGATTAAGGATGTGGTAGTCTACCCTGCGTTTGCTTGGCTGCTTCACGGGCGATCCCCTCATGGAGTTGACCACACTGTGTTAGCTCATGTCATGGGGGAATTCTGGCCCAGCTAAATTCATATAATACCTAACTATCACATGCACAGAGAGGGGAAACGGTTAAAAATTAAAACTATGCTTGCTTTGAAGATGAATCAGTTTATGTCATGGTTGGTGATGCATCAAACAGTGACGGAAGAAATAATAAGTCTTCCCTTTCTCTCGTCCGCATTCTTACCTGCAGTCATACATTGATTATGGAACCAGTTTGGTGGATAATCCTTGTCATTTTCTTTTAAATAGAATTGACTTCGATAATCAGAGTGTATCATATGCCCTCAAAATAAGTGTTGAAGCAGTAGTTGTATGTGGATGCTGGTGAGTTTATGCAGATGTATGTGCACAGCTTTGTGCACTTTAGTGTACACGTGTGTGTTCTGCGTTTCCAAGTAAATGCATTTCTTTCTGTGGGTCATAGTCAGAAAGTTTGAAAGCTACTATATGTATTGTCTTTTGTTGCTTAACAGATTATCCCAGATTTCAGCAACTCCTCACAGAGTGTCTGGGGTTAGTAATTCATCAGTTGCTTAGCCGAGTGGTCTGGTTCAGGGTGTTTTATGAAGTTGCTGTCAAGATATAGGGCATGACTATTATCTTCTATAAAGTTCACTGAGGTGGAGAGATTGGAGTTGTTCTTAGCAGCCCTCAGTTCTTTGAATATATTGCTCTGAAGACCCAATTTGTGACAAGATGGGTCTCTATAGGACTGCTTGAGTGTCTTCAAGACATGGTAGAGAGTTTCTTT